TGCTGCTCTCCTTTCTAGGTCCCCCGTTCCGTGTTTGTAGCACGGAGGGCTACCAACAGTCCTGCTATTGCGAGCGAGGCATCGCAGGTGTTGTTGCAGCCGCTTGCAGCAAAAGCAAAGAAATAAACCTGCAAAGCATCATCATACGCCAAGCAAAACATCATGGAGGATCTACTAAAGCTACCCGAAATTTCTTGGGAGGAAATAAAAAAACACACAGACGCGCAGAGTTGTTGGTGTGTATTCTATGGCCTGGTCTATGACTTGACCAAATTCCTGAAAGACCACCCGGGGGGCCATCACGTAATCCTCGAAGTTGCAGGTATTCCCTCACGCCAGACGCCGCGATAGTTTGTTTTTTGTTTCCGTTTTTTTTTTTAGGTGTAGGATGTGCTGCAGCTGCCGATTCGCTGTGGTTGCTGCAGAATGTCGGTGCTGTGCAACATCAGCATGCTGCACAGCATGCTGTTGTTGTGGCTGCAGCATATCTGTGCTGTGCAACATACTACATGCGTTTTTTTCGCCAACTTCTCGTCGCAGTGCGTGTCTTTTCTGCATCTCTTCTGGTGTGTCGGCTTGGGGTGGGAAGAAGCCGGTATAACGCGGCGGTTTCGTCTGCTGTGGCGCTGCCTGCAGGCCAAGACGCAACGGATTCATTTGAAGATATCGGGCACACACTCGACGCTCGCGCGATGGCTGATGAGTATCTTATCGGCAGAGTAAAGGGAGAAACGAATATACGCAGATGCACCCCGCCAAAGGCGAAGGAATCATCCGGGGCATCGGTGCGTGTGTTCTTTTGTTGAATGTGTATATACACCGCTAGGTTTTACAGTTGCCCCCCACAAAACACTCCGACTAACGGATAAGTTCCCGAAGTTCCCGAGTATTTTTAGTTTGCTTCGTTCCCGTTCGTTGTCGCTGTTTGCCTGCTTTTATTTGCATTGCTGCGCCGTGTGTGCTTGCTTTCTCGCAGAATTCTGGCGGTAAGGGCAAGGGAGGAAACACGTCTACGAGTCTGATAGTGGTGATGGTTGTTGTTGCTTTAATTGGCATCTGGGCGTACTACCAATTTCAAGATGACAGTAGCAGCTTGTACCGACAGATATCTACAGCCCCGCAACCCGCAATCGAATGACGAGATTCTGTCGTCGTCCTCTTCAGTATCTAACGGATCAGCAGGACAATATATTTATATATATACATATATACATATATATATGTGTATATATATATGTATATATCTAGTTTAGTAGAAGCCGATGCACACAGGACAAATTTGGGTC